TAGTAACATTTTCATATTCGGTATCACATCCGTCCGAAGAATCTTCCAAATCCTCTTCCCTCGCAATTTTACCTTTTTTATGATGTTTTTTAACACTTTTTTCCATTTCAGAATCGCTAGTATCAGGGCAAGCATCTTCTGAAGAACGCTTAGCGTTCTTTTTACCACTTTTCCGATCTTTTCGTTTCTCAGTTTTTCTAGTTTTCTCCGATTCACTATCAGTTGATTTATCACCCGATCTCTCTTTCTTATTCTTCTCCTTACCCTTTTTACTCTTCCTGTCTGACTCGTCTTTAGTACTGTGATGTTTGTGATTCTTTTTGTCTTTTTTATCACCCCTTATTTTCTTTTTCGACTTCGAATTAGAATCACTACTTCTACCTCTCTTCTTACCTTTTTCTCTGCTGGTTGATCTTTCCCTATCAGAGCCACCAGACTCCCCACCGCACTCCGAATCGTCGTCATCTTCACCGTCAGTGTCGTGTCTCCCACGCACTTTTGATTTCGCATAGTTTTCCGCTTTTGAATGTATTTTTGATTTACCGCCCTTAGGCAATGCGCCAGACTTCTTCTCAGGTGATTTGTGGCTCCGATCTGGGGATTTAATTTTGATAGGCTTCTTTGAATGTTTCCCTCCTGACTCACGACCTTCGTCTCCACAGTTATTTTCAATCCCACTCATCACTGCACCTTTCAGCTGACCTTCTGCAAACTTTTTCAGCTTTCCACCTTTTCCGCCGGCAAGCTTCTTCAAACCCTTCTTTTTTCCCACCTTACCTACGCTCTTGGCCAAGCCTTTCCCACCTTTCTTTGTCACTGCTTTTGTGGCAAATTTTCCACCTGATTTGGCACCAGCAGCTGCAAAACGCCCAATAACAGCGGCCATTTGTATAAGAGATTGACGTCAAGGCGGCTCGAAGACGTCAGCCGAGCACGTCGTAATTCGACGCGTGCTGGGCACCGTCACGTGAAATCGAACACAATGCCTTCATATGAAATTATCACAAAATTGTACAAACTGAAGTAACGACTGCACGATGTCGTGCTGACAGATTGGTACCAACAATACCTCGAAGTGGATTTACTTTTGTCAATAAAGTCTCACCGATAGGTAAGCGGAAAAGTGGTAATAACGACAACCAAAGCCGGAATTACATCTAAAACACATCCATATTTAAAAGGAAGTTTTCCATAAAAATGGTACGAATAACAGCACTGTTCATTAACACTAAAATCGGCTGAGCAAAACTTCATCTCCTTGCTCAGATTCACGAGGATAAACTCAAATATTTCAAAACAAAGGTCAATCGAAACTAGATGCGAAGGGACTGAGCTAACAGCAACACTCTTTAGAAGAGTTTCGACTGAAGGCAAAAATCGCAATGTGGCTTGTTTAACCCTTGGCATGACTATTGTACACTAGTTGAGAGGGATGACCTTTGTATCATGTCGCTAACCCCAATCCATTCTGTAGGCCAAATCTACTCCTTCTACTCTAGCAATAGGTTTAAGAAATCTAAGATAGTTAACACGGCGATAACTCTTAGGAGAGGCTGAAGAGAGGCGCGTGATGAGGGGAGGAGGAAAATAAGCAGCTATTCCTAACAGAGCAGTCCGACGATCGGCATAGACGCTGTTAACACTGAGGGTGGTTCGGCTGTGATATTAGTGATTAAGGAGAGTGCATATGCAGGTCTACGCAAACACTTTAGGCAAACGATATCATAATTTACCAAGCGTATTAAAATTATACCTTATAAGTTCAATGATTGAAAATGGGAAACATAAG